AGGTGTGGCTGGGGCGTGGCCGCCCCTCCCCCGAGCGCCAGGGCTCGGTCAGGGCGGAGCCGTCCAGAGTCGCCGTCAGCTCCGGGCACTCCGGGTTCACCTGTGGGAGGGGAGAAAGGATCCAAATTTGGGGGACTTTCCCACCAAAAATTGGGAATTTCCAGCCTCAAAATTGGCTTTTTTAGCCCCAAAACATTTTGGGACATCAGGTCTACCCATTGAAGTCAATGGGGATTGAGGGACACCAGGTCTACCCATTGAAATGAATGGGATAAATAGGACACCAGATAGACCCATTGAAATCAATAGGGATTGAGGGACACCAGGTCTACCCATTGAAATCAATGGGGATTGAGGGACACCAGGTCTACCCATTGAAATCAATGGGCTAAATGGAACACCAGGTCTACCCATTAAAGTCAATGGGATAATTGGGACACCAGGTCTACCCATTAAAGACAATGGGATAATTGGGACAAGAAGTCTATCCATTGAAGTCAATGGGATAAATGGGACACCAGGTCTACCCATTGAAGTCAATGGGATAAATGAGACATCAGGTCTACCGATTGAAATGAATGGGATAAATGGGACACCACATCTACCCATTAAAATCAATGGAGATTGAGGGACACCAGGTCTACCCATTGAAATCCATGGGGATTGAGGGACACCAGGTCTACCCATTGAAGTGAATGGGAATTGAGGGACACCAGGTCTACCTATTAAAGTCAATGGGATAATTGGGACACCAGGTCTACCCATTGAAGTCAATAGGATAAATGAGACATTAGGTCTACCCATTGAAATGAATGGGATAAATGGGACACCAGGTTTACCCATTAAATAAATGGGATAAAAGGGACATCAAGTCTACCCATTGAAGTCAATGGGATAAATAGGACATCAGGTCTACCCATGGAAATAAATGGGGATTGAATGACACCAGGTCTACCCATTGAAGTCAGTGGTATAAATGGGACACCAGGTCTACCCATCAAAGCAATGGCAATTCCAGAGCAGAAGTTTGGGGGGGGATCCAAAGGATTTTTTTGGGGGTACCTCAGGGTTTTGGGGAATTCAGGTGTCTGAGGGGTACCCAGGTGTATCCAGGTGATTTTTGGGGTTCCCAGTGGTCCCCACTCACCTTGACAGGCCGGGAGAAGATGACGGCCACCGTCGCGTCCTCCCGGTCGATGTGGACGCAGATGACCCTCGGCGGTGGGGGGGCTGTCGGGGGACACCCCAACATTCAGGGGGGGCACCCCGAAACTCCAGCTGAGGGCCCCAGGGCTGGGAGGGAGCCCCGAGTTACCTCGGGAGAGGATGCAGCGCAGGTACACCCAGGCGCTCTGGTCCGTGGGGTC